CTGCGGTCTGCAATAACACCAGCGGAGGAGATGGGGCTGAAATGCAGCAGGGCACGGGCAGGGAGGAACAAAGCCAGAAGCCTTTACAGCCTCTGGGACTAAACACAGGAGAGAGAGCTGTGTCCTGAAGGAAGAAGCTGGGGTCCAGACTGGCTCAGAATCCTGCCATGGCTCCATGCTTTGCTCTTTTTCTGCTTGTAAATACACACTGCTTAATTCAGCTCCTGTTAAAATGATTTTTCCAAATTAAGTGTGTTTGTAGGCAAATAATTTTTGAAAGCAGCTTATCAAACAGGACTTGTGGAATAAATCTTGATGCTGTTAATCCAAGTACCAGAACACCAAAAGACAATCAAAGGAAGGACATTTTAAGAAGATTTCAGGGAAAATCTTGTTACACTGCAAACCCCTGTCACATGCATGATGCAAAAGGAACTGTAAACGTGATTTGTGCTGCCTAGCTTGGCAAGGAAGGGAAAGTGGGGAGGTCTGAGATAGTCAACAGCTGCAGCAGAACTTAGTATTAAATTTATTCAATTTTATGTTTGGATTTTATTCTTCTTGGCAAAACCAGGTGGAAAATATCTTTAGCTAAATGAGTTCTTCAGCTCAGGCTTGTTGGACTCGGGCAGTTCTCAAGAGGCAGCAAAAGTCTCCAGTGCCAGTTCTCCTCCTTGTTCCCCTGCAGCGCAGGGGGAGCTCTGGTGCCCCACAGCCCATCCCGGGACATCAGGGGACACTCCCGTGCCCTGCCCAGCGTTAGGGTAAAATGGCTGAAAGACACATTGATTTCTTTTTAAAGTACCACAGCCCCGGAGAATTTATTTGCATTCTCTTACAGCCCTCACAGGGATTCTGTCAGCATCTCCCATGTGCCAGCTCATGAGTGTCAGCCCCGAACCATTCTTTTCTCTGGGCAGGGGAGATGGGAAAAGATGAACTGTTCTTGAATTGCTAAACAAATGTTTCATGTGCCATCCTCTTAACTGCTACATTTTTATGTTCAGGGTTCTTTTAAGACCAGAACTGATTATAAAGAAATCTAAAATTTGGTAGGGATAAAACCCCTGCTTTTCCAACATAACCTAAACCAGCACCAGATGCTACGATATTCCTGACTTTTCTAATACAGACTGTGATTTTCCAGCAAATAGACTTTATTTTAAAAAAAGCCATCAAGAAAGCCATTAAAAGATCTCCCTGAACTGTTGGGTCAGCAGCTTCACTGTGACAGTCTAAATAAAACAGTCAGCACACTGATGGGGGCTGGAAAAACAGCTTCATGAGCTTCTGCCAAATCACACACACTGTTCTTTTAGAACAGGAAAAATCCCAAACACAAAATTCACAGGATGGATTACGTCTATGGCTCCAGGTTGCTTCCCATTCAGCTCTCCTACAGAGCCTTTTATAAGAATTAAAAGGTGCACTTTAGCTGTCTTGCAGGCCAATATTCCCAAAAAATTTTGCAGAAATTCTTTCAGATCTTAATCCTGAAAGCAAGACTGATGGATCACAAGGTCATATTTGTTCCTTGGGGAATCAGGCTCTGAAACCAGGAGTGGAAGATGGTGAGCGCAGCCCCCCTGCCCTGCCCTGCCCTGAGCAGCTCTGCGTGCAGAACGGCAGCAAGGTTGAAAGGCTGGGGCAATGAGGGGGCAGTTCTGAGGAGAAACAAGAACACTGTTTCAGCTGTCTTCTGCCTTTGCTGCATCAGGCACAGAGGAGACAACAGGAAAAGCAAGGGACTGTAGTAGTCAGGCAAAGCCCCACTTTTATGCAGAGCTCAATTCAGCTTACCCAGAATCCACACGGTGCCACGGAGTGTCCCACCAGGAGGCTGTGACTGCAGCAAGGTCTGGGAGAGGAGACACTTCTCTTACACAGGCCCAAGAGGGGATCAGGGTGTTTAACAGCACTGCACAGCTCCCTGTGCCAAAGTGCCTTAATCCAGGTTCCTATAAAACACAGCATTAGCCACAAGTGACTGCTGCAGAAGAGTCCCAAGACAGGCTCTAGTCCCATCCAAGGAGAAAAGTCAAGTGCAGCAGATGAAGGTAGGGAGAACCTGGGTCCACTGCTGTCAGTGCACTCCCTGCTTTCCAATAGGAATGGTTTAGGAAGGAGTTTCTGAGTTGGAAAAATTTGCAATACAAAGCCTCAGCCTAGCAAGTTTCTTTTAATTTTTAAATGTACAGCATTTTAGTTCTACAAATGTAAAAAAAAATTAAAACCAAAAAAACCTTTACAATGTTTGGGGGTTTTTAGCTTATAATGATCACACACAACGTGATTCAATGCAATCTGGTCGTCAGTTCCTGTGGCCCGATTGCTTTGGATGATGCAAATAAAATGGCCAAGACATTTAGCTCTGAGACAGCACCTGCAGGAACTGCCCTCTGTGGCAGCAGTTCCCGTGGGCGCCGCACACAGGCGTAGGAACTGCTCCTGCAGGTCACAGGTAAGTAAACACCGACCGTAGCTCACACTGGACGAGACAGACACGTGCCAGCCTGCGGGGCCGGGCTGGGGCCAGCGCTGTGCGGGAGCCAAGCTCTGCTCTGCAGCACTGCCCCCACAAGCGCTGAGGCAACGCAAGGCTGTGGCTCAGCTTACAGGCAAACAAGGAAACAGAGTTAAAGTCTCTACTTCGAGGAAGTCCCATCCGCTGGCTGTGCCAGGTTCCTCGTTTAAGCGAACTTTTAAGTTTCACTTTAAAGTCCAGTTTGAGCTCCCATTAATACAGCTGCACTAACACTGTGGCACAAATAACAAACTGTACCCACGTTACTTTGCATTCCCTTGCTCCGCCAGGTCTGCACGCCCTGCACGGCACAGAACATAGAACATTCTCTATGCACTCAAGAACCACTGGAAGTTACTCCACAGCTCAACACACTGCCCAGACTAGAGCACAAGCATTACAAATCTATAAAAAAGCAGCCCCTGTGGTGGTGTACAGGAATAAACTAACAAAAAAAATTTAGTATTACCATTTATTGGTGACAAACACTACGTTTTACTTACATTCCATGGGGAGAAAAAATTCCAGCGTAAACAATGAACGGAAGCAGTACTGAACTCGCGCGGCTATCGTGCTGTACCTGGACCAATGCAAACCTCAGCGCGCACCGACCGTGCGCAAGAACACAACATCAAAAGCAACACAGTTATATATAAACATAGGTATTTTTTTCAGCCCTACATGGAGATGTAATTAAACAGTATAAAGCACTCAAGGAAAATCAATCTGCAGTTTTATATGCACTACATTGAGATCATATCCTGTACTGTAGTGAGCTGTGAGCCACCAACACACAGTCCCTAAAACACAGCTCAGAGATCACTGAAAGTCACGTTGCATTTGAGTTCCCCTACCCCACACTCAAGAAAACTAGAAATTAACCAAAAATGATCAAACCAAGTTTAAAATTCCTAAAGTGTTTAAATTCATTCAACCATTAGATAATTAGGGTTGGTTTGCAAAAATATGGGGCTTTTTAAAATGGTGGGACACAGCCTGTTTCCAGTGAAACGCTGCTATTCCAATAAAACCAAAATAACCACATACATGGATATGATCTTCCCAAGTTAGTTCACAGGTAACATGTCAGTCTCAGAAGACAAAGTTTCTAAACTGTGCTATGGTTCTAGATACAATTAAGAAACTTTTAAATGAAAAATGTATAGTGTCATTTCAATCAAAACAACATAATGAAACTAAAAATGTATCACTGTTTGAAGAAAAAGCAACAGTTATGATTTAGACACTACAGTAGGTTGTAGAGACTGTAGCACTCCAACAGTTAGGTTACATTAAGAGGAAGCATTTGATTTTCTCTGGTGCTTTCACGTTTGGGTTCAGTCAAGAGCCTGTTTCAGGCAGTGCTGTCCAGTGTTTGTCCCAAAGGGTTTGCGCTCGCCGGTTTGAGGAGAGGGTCACTTTCCATTTCTTGTTTCACACATCTAAAATGAGAAAACACCTGTTACTTAGGAGACAAAACGCTATTTCCACAAATAAGATACTTTAAATTGGATACAAATAATTTGATGTGCATTTAACAATTTGTTACCATATAACTGCCCTGATTTTCAATCAATTAGCACTTTGTTAATCTCACCACTGTTAATTTGAGAGCTTATTATCTGAATGAGAGGCTCAACTTTCTCTCCTCCCAAACCCAGCCAAGAGAATAATTTGCACTTCTCCATGCTTCTGCTGAAAATGAGCTTTGAGCCCTGTATATCCCTTTACCTGTGACACACAAGATTGCAGGAGAGAGAGGAGCACTTGGAACCCCAAGCCACGGCAGAGTGACGCTCCTTACAGAGAAATGGGAAGGGGCAGCTGAGCTGAGGGAGGCCGGCGCTGTCACACAGGGCTGGGGTCACACCACAGCCAGCACACGGCACCCACTCACTCCTGCTCAGTGCTTTGCCTTTGACATGTGAAAGGGACAGGATTGACCATCCAACCTCCCTCTGGTGCTGCTGGAAGGCAAAGGGGCCTTGGCATTTCAACCCTTCTGGCAAATCAAACCCTCACATGTTATTTGTCTAAATACTCTCATAGGGTTAATTTGCATCAGTGCAAGGGATGTGGATGGGAACCACTCACACAGACATTGGTCCATTTCCCGTCCTTGGCATCTCTGTGGTTTGTTGGTCCAACTCAGACAGCAACTTTAAAATATTCAATGCAGCCTAAAGAGAAGAAAGAGCACTCAGCAATTCAGCCTCCAGACAGTTCAGTAACTTAGTGAAAGCACTCAACCCAAACAAATGTTCTTATTTTGGCGATATTTTTAAAGAATTTTTTAAAGTTCCATAGTTATGGTGGAAAATGCAAAGGTGTAGAATTTCATCGTGCTTCATGGAACAATTGGATGGTGCTGTGACTGGGGATTCCCACTGCACTTGTTTCAGCGCTGGGGGAAAACTAACACACCAGGACTAGAAACAGCAAGAAAAGAGACAATAAATTAGTAACAGCTCCAACTGTGCCGAGCTTAAGACAAAGGACAGAAAAATACACAAAATCAGCGTCCTTTTCCAGAAAAGAAAACAAGTTACACAGGAATCAAAACTACAAAACAGGAGGGGCCCACGTGACTGTTTAGCAGGGCCAGTGTGCCACGGCTGAAGGTCAGACACCTCCCCTGAGAACTGACTTCTTTTTCCCCACTTCATTCAGAGCAATTGCAGGTGCAGCTTTCCAGCATACCCTGACTCTGCCACGTGCCTTAGTGACAGCCGAACCCTGAACTGAGCAGGGGGCTCACAGTGTTCATTAGGAAAGTACTGCAACAGTTTTTGTATAAAAATCAGCAGAATCAGGTTTTCCTAAGGGTATTCAAATAGTGCAAATGACTCCTTCAGGCTGCCACACTCAGATCACCTCTGGAGACCAAAGAACAATTCCTCTGAATGGGAGCAGACTGAGAACATCCTACCAGCTTCACCTAAAGTCTTTTAGAGCCAAAGCCCCCTGCAGGTTTCACTTTAGCAGGCTCATTCTTTCACAAAGAAATATTTCAGGCACTGGTAAAAAAAAAAAATCTTTTTTATAAAGGGAGCTGAACAGATTTAGAGTGTCTTTTACTATCCAATGCTGAACTGCACTTCTTCCATAGGGGATTCCACTTCCACTGCAAGTCTGGGAACCTGAGCCCAAGTATCACAATTCCCAATGAAACATCAGCCCATTCTGATATAATAAGGAAATAAGCTGTTAGGTTTATACATTCCTTTCTGTGCATTTACTGTCATGGGCTCATGCAAATACTATCAAGACAAAGCAAACGTGCTTTTTGTACACCAAAACTGTGATCAAATGTTTAGCATATTAAGCATTATTTAGATTACATTATGTTATTATTAATCATTATTTCCACAACCTGTGAAATATTAGACAAAAATTAGCCAGGGAATCGTAGAACATTTAATTGCTCCCATCAGTGATATAAAACCTTGGTTTCCCCTCAGGAGCAGCATTTCAGCAATGTTCATACCATGTCATGGCAGGACTCCACATCCTTTCCAATCCCATGACTGATCAGCGGTGGCTGAGAGGAACAGTTTATAAGAGATACAAACTCATTCTTGTTATTTTTTGGAAAGTCCTTATATTCAACCTGAAGAAAAGAGAAGGATTTACTTCTTTTCAGTTAACCAAGTACTGGAAGTATATCACAACTGCTACAGATTATTTGCAAATATATGACACTGAGCCTTTCTTCTCATTGTTCTCCCAGTCAGTAGAGCCCCTCCATTTGAAGTTTAACCTCACTTACAATGTTTTTTAGTACTCAAAAGAGCTTGGCAAGGCTCCTGAATATGAGTGGCTACTTAATAATGATTGTTACTGGACCCTTTATTCTGATCACTGCTAACTGCATTTCAAATTTCTGTATTGTTTCTTGATCCACTGAGCTCATCTGTCATACAAATACAGGAACTTAATGCAATTCCCATTAAAGGGAGCAAATGTGAGAAAATGCAGAGCTTACAGCAAATGTTAATGTATGACAGATTAGTGAAAAAATCTGATTTCACATCAGCCAAGTTCAAGTCCACAATGTCTTCCTATATTGGGACAATTTTCAGAAAATGCTGCTTTATTTTAATGCTGCCTTTTTTTTTTGTTTTTCCAAGACCTCAGAGCAGCAGTGAATTGGGGCTGAGAATGGTACAGAAATGCACACTTGAAAATTAAATTTAAAAAGATGTAAAATTTGGCACGTGTCATCGGTAAAGCGAAATGGTGACATGCATTTCAGCAGGGTCAGAACTCATCTCTCACCAACAGAACCAAAAAGCTTTTGAACAATAGCTCTGGAAGAAGTGCCGTGAAGTTGAACATCTACCTGGATTCCCTGGACGTTGGAAAGATAGTCCAGCTGCTCGGAGGGCCTGGTCAGAGGCCCGTGGGGGAAGTGTCCCGAGGAGCTGCTGCTCTTCAGGATGGTCTCGGCAGTGGGAGAGGTGCCCCCGTAGAGCAGCTCCCGCGCGATCATGGCCGTCACCGTGGCCTTGGCGGGGTTGGGAGCTGCCCGACTGAACTCTTTGGTGTGGTGTCCTTGGTTGGCTCCTACAGCCTGTGCAACCTCAGGGACCATGGGAAGAATGCCAGCAGGAAGCTGCTGATGGCTGAGATAAGGCATCCTGAACTCATCTTCTTTATTACCTGGGAGGAGAGAGGTGCACACTGAAGAGCTGCTGTTTGAGAGTCCTCCTGCAGGCACACACAGGCACCAAAAGTCACTTTGGAAAAAAATAATTCCTTTCAAATTACTTTTGACATACTAACAAACTTGGTAGGCTCAATCAGCCTTTGGAGGGTCAGAGCTTCAGTATCATCAAGACAGAGTTTTCTTACTGAATTACTGACTCAGTGCAACGGCTGCTTCTGCCAAAGGGAGCACCTTTACCTCCAGGAGGAGCATCTCCAGGTCAGTCAAGCTCACAGACACCTCAGCTGCAACCCTATTCTAAATATATCCTTTGCCTTCAGAATTTTCTATTCCATCATTTAAGCTGTAGGAGCAAATAAAGAAACCACAGAATGGCCAGAGCCACCATTAAGGATGTAAAGAGAGTGACAGTCCACAAAGTTTAAACTGTGTATGGTGAGAACAAGCAGGTAGGAAAGGTAAAATGGAATGTTAGCACAAAGAGGCAAGACTATTTACAGCAAATGTCCAGCCACAGTCAATTGACAGCAATTTGCTGACATTATGGTATAAGTTAAAGAGGGATAAGAACAGCTTTTTAAGGGGAACTCACACAGAGTTATGGCTGAAACTTGCACAGGTGTGCTCAAGAAAGGTGGGGAAGATAGTGCCACCAAAATAAACCGAAGGAGTAATTTTTATGGCAGAACAGATTAATGAAGTTCTGCAGGACTGAGCTGTTTCAAGTCTAAGGATGAAAGCCAAAATTTGTAAATGGAAGAAAACAGGAATAGCAAAATCTGAATAGGAAGTTAGGTAGTTTACCTAAAATCTTCTGGATGCAGTGAAACAGTACCAAAGTCCATGTCAATTCCAACTTACTATAATTTAAATAGCAAAGTCATACGTAAACATGTAAAGTACCTGAAATATGCTCTCCAGAACAGCAATCTGTGGTGATAGACTAACTTTCCATAATCATTCCTCCCACCAGATGACATTCCAGAAAGCAATGTCTGTGTACAGGGAGGCCAGGTTTGAGGTGTTTTGATTCCAGCCTGCACCCTGGGTGTGACCATCACAACTATTCACTGCCTGAAACACGGGCAGGCACAGCTCCTGCTCTCAGCCATCAGAGACCAGGCACAGACTGAGGTGGTTCTGGACAAGGCCATTCCTTCCCTCTCCAACTCTGCCTGAGGCTGACCAGTCAGTACTGGCACCCTTTCTCATCTTCATGCCAGGAACAGGGGCCTTGGGAGGAATAACCAAACCTTTCCAAGGACTCCATTTGGTTTGCAAGGCAGCAGCTGCACTGCTCTGCTCATCCCAGAGTGCTAGATGGCACTGCTGAAGGGACTGGCAACAGACCTGACACCCCCAGCTGGGCCCTGCTGCTTTCACCAGGTTACTCACTAGCTGAAGTCTCTTCAGAGCCCGGCTCAAAGAAGGTTACTTTTCTTCCATCCCCTGGTTTCTTCACTGGGGTCTTAAAAATAAAAGAAAAATAACTCAAACACACAATATCCCTTTTAAACTTTTTTCCCCCAAATTCTAAAGTTTTCAAGATGCAGGTGATCTGATCAGCCAAAATTTTACTGAAAAAGTTATTATTCTAAAACATCAATAACTACATTGCTATCAAAAAAAGAGAAGTTCAGTGATTCTTATTCACTGAAGGCCTAAAACTACCACATCTCAGAGAAGTGGTAGTTTAGGAATACAGCTACTCAGAACCAGATACCAGAATAAAGCCAGTTTAACTGCCATTAAGGGGAGCACACCAGACACCAATGAGCACATGCATGAAAAGGAGAAAAGCAACCCTGGATTTGCTGTTTGAGCTCCCTGGTAGCATCTGCTGAATCACCAGCAGAACACAGAAGGCTCCTTCCCTCAGAGAGACCTGGAACAAACTTTTCACTGCAACTGTGACAAGGCTGTGTAAAACCATTGCTAGCAGAGGACTGTAACCTACAGGTCTGCAAGCTTCTAAGACCAACACATCGATTATCACAGGTTCTGAGGCATTTCATAAAGCATGAATGCATTAATTTATCCGTCTTATGAGACTCTCATTTACCTGAAAACCCAAATGCTTCATGTATCCAAAACACTGGATATTTAATATTTTTTCAGAGAGCAGTGCCCTCAATACAATTGTTTTCGAGTAGGGCAGAGAGAATGAACTACCTATCCTGTTACTGCCTTGCAAAGCTGCTTCTGTTCAGCTCAGGCTTTGCTGCAGCATTAACAAGCTGCTGCTTCCTCAAGACTCACCTTCTCTTCTGTCTTTAATGCTGGTTTTGGAGGCTGAGGTTGAGGGACTTTGAAACCTAAAATTTCCAACATATTTTCCGCTGCATTGCGTTTAGCAACCTTTTTGTTCGTGCCCATTCCTTCAGCTGTGTGTACACCAACTTTCACCTGGACAGAAGAGGAAGAAAATTCAATTCTTAAGCAGTAATATTGGGATTCCCTTATTAGTGATCTGTGTCTCCAGCATGCCATGAGTCACAAAATAGTTCAAGTGATCATTGTTCTGAGCAAGCTGTCATTTATTATCAATAATCATTGGCCTTCAAGCACAAAAAACCCAAACAGAAGTCACACAAAGAATTGTATTTCATCATCTCACCTTGGGAATCCAAGTTAGTGTTAATAAATCCTACATTACAAAATACAAGCAGCTTAGTACCTCTAAGCAGAGTATCAATACTCCTGTTAATTAAAACATTAGGCACTTACAACATAGATTACTGGTGCCCTGTGCAATTTTTTTTTTATTTATTTTCTTGAACCTTTATCTTCTGTGAATGCAGCCCATTAGATATTTTGTTAAATCATGTCATGGAAATCTGTTAAGCCTGTATATCATCCTGACAACCTGACTGCCACAAGAAAAAAAAAATGAGGCGCCAGCCACACCTCCAGCTGTGTGCCATGGTCACAGCCACAGCTCCAGCTGTGTGCCACGGTCACAGGGTCACAGCCACAGCTCCAGCTGTGTGCCAC